TATTATTGCTCACCTACATAATCTTTAGGTTGTACATACTGCGCCTGGTACACGTTTGTGTGCTCCAACACATCACGGTGCCCGCGGGTAAAGAAAAGGGGATATTGGTGTCGCACGTGGTGTGCGTACGACGCAAAGCTTTTTTTTTTTTGCGTGTAATCTTGCTTGCTGAGAATGAGAGCCAGAATGAAAGATACACTAGTCGCGAGAGAGAGGCATTCGTGCGTCCTTTTATCGAGAGATGCGCGCGAGAAAGAGAGAAACAGAACAGACGGCAAGATAAATTTCAACGCTCATGTGGTTAGATTGTTGCGCCCAAGTACTCAACTCACGCCACTCTCCGTCGTAACCATGAAGTGCAAGATCTGCCCCTTGCTGCCTCTCTTCTAAGCCCGATTACGGCGTAACTTTCGAACTGGAGTCTCGCGGTCCGAAAACCACCTCTTCACGTTGTTCCCAGAACGAAGGTTAAGTTCGCACTTTAATCAATGAGAATGTGTGATTTTGCCAGTCTCTCAACTGACGTTAAGAATACCTCGGCAACACACTTTGCACTACTCTTCTGTGATGGAAGTTCTCCCGGTTCTCTATTTTCACGCACGCACCTATTTGACTTCTTGGGGGTTTAACCGCCGAGGGCCCGTACCACTCCATTTTCTTGCTTCTCTCGGGAGCCAGGGATTCGTTCATTGATGGCGCGAACGAAAGGTTCTACGCGGAGACAGGAACGTTTTTTTTTGTGAAGACAAAACATGTTTATCATGCGGTAAATGAAGGATGGGCCGTAAGCAACGCTCAATAACCCCGTCCAGTTGCCGAGGTCAACAGCGACTTCCGGATGGTCCGAAACGTCGTTTTCCTCATCGATAGCCAACGTGTGCCTGTCCAGAGGCTCGGCCTCCTCGTAAGAGGTCTAGAATTCACGGATCTCCATGTTATTTCCAGGTCGAAATGTGCTGTACAACCGTCACCCTTCAATCCTCAAGTAGGGGCTATTGTGTAGCCAAGGAAAATGTGTTTCGAGGAGTTGTTCTCGTTATTGCCCCTGTTGATTTCTAGCAGCTCAACAGAGATCGCATTTCCAGGCCGAAATGTGCTGTACAACCGTCACCCTTCAATCCTCAAGGGCTATTGTGTAGCCAAGGAAAATGTGTTTCGAGGAGTTGTTCTCGTTATTGCCCCTGTTGATTTCTAGCAGCTCAACAGAGATCGCATTTCCAGGTCGAAATGTGCTGTACAACCGTCACCCTTCAATCCTCAAGGGCTATTGTGTAGCCAAGGGAAATGTGTTTCGAGGAGTTCTCGTTATTGCCCCTGTTGATTTCTAGCAGCTCAACAGAGATCGCGCCCACACATGCTCCCTGGTTGGATTTTTCCAGTCCGACAAGGAAAACACGAGGAAATAAAAAGCAAGCGCGAGACTGGAGGCAGCCCTGGGAGCACGGCAATTCATTGAACTTGTGCGAGTTCGCGAAGTCAACACGATGCATCACAGAAGTGTTCGAGTAGTCAGAAGTCTCCCCAGGGGATGCATTTGTCAAAAATGACGGTTAACTTGACTTGACTCCTGCTGGATACTGCGCGTTGTTTTCGTCATGGCTGAAGGGATTAAGACCCGTGAGCGGTTTCCAGGTTTCAGCCAAGAAGCCAGGAGACATGGATGGCTGAGAAAATATTAGCAAAAAATTGACCAAAATTGCGAACCGAAATTCTTTTGAGAAAGAAAGGAGAGAGCGAGCACTTCGCTACTCTCCAATCCTTGCGTGTCGGTTTACGTCCAACTCTCCAGAAAACCGCAACTAGTTTGGATGAAAACGTCATCCCTACCAGACAAAAGAGACTGAGATGATATCAGGGCTGTAAAAAACATGCGGCGAAAACCTTGATCAAATGTGTCTCAGCCTCTCTCTTCATTTTTGTCACCCACCACCACCACCTCTTTCAACCGCCTACCCTCCCGTGTCGACACGCTCGCGCGCAGCGACCATGGGCGTCACTACCCGTTACCCGTGGCTGCCCACACACACAACAGGAAACCAAGACCGGTAGCGTGCATTAGGCTACTACTGCCAGGCGATGCACTACTATCGGCCCAAGCCAGCCAGGCCGTTTCTGCTCACAGTAGCGCAGACGGTGGTACCGCTGCTGTACGCAGGCAGCCAGGCATTACAACAGTTCGCGACAACTCAAAACTGCTTGTGCACTACCACGTCCCCCAACGCGTCCCGGAGCTTTTGTAGCCCATCCGTGAACACTAAGGCGACTCGGGTAACAAACAAGTCAACACGTGTCGTGTCCTGCTGAAGTTTAGGACAGGGCCATGAGGGTCTTGAACTGGTCGTACATGACGAGCACCATGGCGGACCCGACCGTACGGAGCACGTTAGCACTGGCACCCTTGAACAAGGCAGAGTTCCCTGCAGACGACGAAAAGCACACGCATTCACGACATGTCAGAAGGGAGCAAGGAATGCATAGGTGAGACTATCAAATCACGTGTTAATTTTCCGGCGCCGTTGAAAACCCTATCGGCGAGTACTGACCGCGGACACATCCACAAATACTAGCATGCTTGGCGGAGGTTTCCATTTCGTTGCGCGCGTGCCTCTCACACCATGCAATACGGCTGAAGGACCAGTTCAGCGGCAAAAAACCCATCCATGTGTGGGTGACACACAGCCCGCTCTTCTCGTCGACGTCACGTGCGTCAAGCAGTACAGCAGTGCCTGCCTTCACGAGAAAATACGTAGACCCTACAACCCCCCACTCCCAAAATTGCGTGCTTGATCCAACGTGTTTACTTGAGCGAAAAACGAAAAACCATGCGAAGGTTACCGGCCTCACCAAAATCTCTACTTGCTACTTCATCGAACATGTTAAGCAACCTTAAAAACCCTGCTGAGGCTAATGCAACCTACCCAACTGCATGCTTTTTCCAACATGATCAAAAAACTAAAACGACTGCAGCAGTACTCACCCTCCTCCTTCAGGATCTTCTTCAGGCAGTCCAACGCACCCTGGTAGTGCCACTCCGACCTCGGCTTCTCCGACTGCATCTGGAGCCTACGGCGCACGGTGTCGAACGGGTACGACGCGTACCCAGCAGTGATGGCCGTGGCCTGGGCGATGGCGAACTTGGAGGTCATCCCCTTGATGCCGGTGTCGTTCTTGAAGGGGTTCTTGGCCGAACCCGTGTCGTAAAGGCCGAAGTACACACCACGGTACCTGCAATTTGTGGGTGGGGACACATTGGAGTATGGAGGTTCGACATGTCAGCAGGGGATACAAAGATAATGAGTTGGGCAGTGTAAGTCGTGCCCGCGGCAACAAACTTGTGTGTTCTAGTGTACTGGAGGCCAAAAATGTTCTCCAAGGGAGAACGGCAACCGTCTTCCGTGTGAGGGTCAACCTGACAGCTCGGGACAATCAGAAAATTCCCGCCAACAGTTAACTTTCAAGAGAGAACATCGCCGTACGTTGTTGCCAGGAGCCATGACCGACAAACTAAGATAAGGCGCAGGCAAGGTGATTTGAACGAGCCATGAGAGATATGTCTGAGTTCGGTCCGACCGAACTCAAACACGCCTTCCACGTTTTCTATGGCTCGTTCGAATCACCGTGCCCAATCTTCGTTTGTCGGTCATGGCTCCTGGCAACAACGCACGGCGATGTTCTCCCAAGGAATATAATTGTTTGAGCATTTTCTGAAAGTCCTGAGCTGTCAGCTTGGCCTTCACGCGGAATTTTGAATATTCTTGGCAGACATGTCAGAAGTAGCGATGCACACCCGGGGTGTGAGATTCAGGGAGCATCCGACACACAACGCACCATTCTCGCAAGACAACAACACTCTCTCTATAGCACCCCCGCGTAACTGTTGTGATATCTCAAACGGGCAGTCTTGTTGTGCTCACACTGCTGTATATATTTCCTAAAAGAATAAGACTTGGTACTCTTGTACTCACGGGATGATGCCCATCACGGAAACGCCGAACCCGTTGTAGAGACCCAGCACGCCCTTAGGGCCCCTGGCCGTCTTGCTCAGGCAGTCCCACAAGCCAGTGAAGTCGCGCTTGCCCGACCCCACGTCGGACGCAAGCCGGGTCCGTGCGAAGTCGAGGGGGTACACGAAGCAAAGGCTACCCGCGCCGGCCAGACCGCCGGAGGCGATGTTGATTGCGAAGAATTTGGCGAAGTCATCCTTGGGGCTGACCTGAAGAACAGTGATGACGAGGGGGAGGATTGTTCTAAGGTGAAGAGGGGGGTACAGACCTTCGCTTGCTGTGATGTGTTTTCTGTGCGTGCTGCAATAGAAATGTGACAGTGTACGTCGAGATACGCTAAACACAGCTGCAATGCGGTGCATCTCTTGCTGGGGGTGGACAGCTATATGACAAGCACATGCATACCGCGGTGTTCTCTCGCCATGAGGTACAGTGCGAGGCTGCATGCACATACGTCTCACATTCCTCTGTTGTACGTACTCGCCGGAACAAATATACTCTTGTCCCCCCAAACCTCTCTTCCTTTGAGGGTCCGTCCACCCGATTGAGACGCCACTGAATGTCATCCATCACATTTCTTTCAACGAATACCGAATGGTTCAACTGTTTTTGAAGGCAATACTACACTGGTACGAGGTATGGAGGGGGAGCCGATGCGGATCTTCGTCTGAGGATTTGAGTTGGCGAGGTCGCGTGTACAGGCGTTGCTGTCTTAGTGCTGCGATGTTACCGCCAGCGGGATCCTCTCTGGCGCTGTTAGCGTCGCTATTTTACCGCAACAACTGCAGTATGCTGCCGTGCCCATGGGGAGCGAACCAAGACAAAAAGTCGGAGAGATAGACCGATCCCGCCGAAGAAATTTCAAGCATGTCGTCGGGCTCACCCTCCACCCCAATCTCTATGTACAGTACAGAACCCACGCATGAAGACTGGTGACACCAGACGCATGTGTACCCTGGTGCCTGGAATAGAGTTGAGTTTGTTGCTTCCATACGGCGTGGGATGTGTATATCGAGAAACACTACCACTGTACGCCACGAAAATCTGACACTTCGCAGAAGGATATGCGCAGCTGTGAAAAAGGTCGTGTTCCAGCGTGCACACATACATGTCGTGAAAATACCTATTTTACCGCCAACTTTGACGAAAATGCAGGTCGGTCTGTCGCGTGAGAGCGGCGGCACTCCTGTGCACAAGGACGCGGGTATACTGCTGCGGCAAAGCAGTGTCGGCAGCAGCAGCGGCTCGAAAACGCTGAGAGAATGATTGATACTCCCTCCTCACCAAGCACGTGGCCTTGCCGTCACGCCACGCTCTATTTTTTGCGCGGGGACGCGTCGATTGTCGACACCCAACAGCCGCCCCGCAGTATAGCCAACACAGCGCAGCGTTCCGTGCAAGTAGGTAGCTCATAGAAGCTGCAAGGGCAACCTACTGCTGCTGCTGCACCGCTACGCCGCACCGTGTGGGGGAAACCGTGTATTTCGAGCCTCATTTGCTGCTGCTCGATTTGGAATCTACATATCACAACTCCGTGACGAACCGAAGAAAAATCCATCACATAGACTACGACGCGCGCCACGTATTTCATGGTACGTATGTTGTATTCAGAACAAAAGTTTTGCCAGCTTTATCCGACGGCAGAAGCGGCAGCAGCAGCAGCAGCGTCACTAGTTGCCGAAACGGAGGGGGAGGGGGATTACGCTCGACCCTGTCTTCCGCGCGTGAGCAGCGCGCTCGATCATCGTCTTTCGGAGCACACGCACCTGACGCAAGAGCGAAAAAACAAACACCCATTTTTCTTCTCTCGGGGAAATACCTTGGCCGAAAACGGGCACGCTCGAGACGCTTGCGCGTGTATGGACGCGGCGGCACAATGATCCCGCTCTCTACTTGACCCACCTTGGGGAAGAGGGCCTTGATCTGGTCCTTGAAGGCGAAGTTGAACGCCTGGGTGGGGAAGTACCGGATGACGTTGGTGGTGTTCCCTCTCCAGAAGGCCGCGAGGCCCTGCTCCTGGTGCACGCGAGTGAAGCAGCTTTTGCACCCCCACGATTTTTTTTGTTCGTTGTTGGAGAAGCGTTTGTTGCGGGCGTCATGGGGGATGGGCGGGAACCAACGAAAGGGAGCACGCGCGGAGAGACAGATCGACAAAAGAGTCGTGAGTACTTCCGTGGAGCATCGGCTGCGTGTGCAGCAGCAGGGGGATTGCGCCCTGGGAACGGAACGTAATTACGCCTCCTCGAGGAGACAGACGTCCCACGAAAACACTTTGTATGGATGACATCAGCATCCACCACAGACCAGCGAACTTCCATTTTTCTCGCGTGTCTTGTCCCACACAGAACCAGTCGTTTCTCTTTTCGTTCGATACAGAACACCACACAAATGCTGCGCCCCGATTGCACACCAGTGCACCGCAGGCAAACCCCGACTGCTGTTGGCACCACCATTGCCTGCTCACCCGGAGCCGGCCTTGCTATGTGCTACTCACTTCACGATACCGGTGTACCGGGCCACCTCTCCCGACTTGATACGCGGGTTGGCGTCCTGAGTCTGCATAATGAGCTTCACGCGCTCGATCGGTGCCGTGCACGTCTTTGCGATGGCTCCGCTGACTCCGCCGAGGGCGAAGTCAACCAGGAAGTTGGACTCCTTCTTCGAAGACATCTTTGCAAGAGAGGGGTGTTGGGTGACAGCAGAGAGAGGAGTGGGAGACACAGCAGCGATCGTTCGGTGGAGAGAGAGCCCTTCGAAAAATAAAAAGGAATCAAGATAGGGGTGGGAGGACAATTGAAAAAAGGAAAAAAGCCTCCGAAAATGTGGTACCGCCCTGCCCATGTCCCGATGGGCAGGGGCGCGAATATTTGCAATCCATGGATTATAGAAGAGAACCACAGTCCAAACATCCATATGGATCGAAACCCCGGGAAACCGCCCGGAGTGTCCCCGAAGAGGTTCTTCTCCCTCTCCTATAAAAGCAGCGATAATCACGGCGGCGGAGAGCCGTCTGAAGGCGGCGACACGCACCCGCACGCTGGGGGAAGACGAGGAGACAACACACAACGATAACTGGTGAGATCCCGTCCCGACAGGCGTCCGTGCATCCTCTGTGTCTGTGCCTCACCCTCACCCTCTCTGTGATGTTTTTTTTGGAAATAAAATAGCAACGGCCGCACCCGCACCAGCGCCATGTGTGTGTTGGTCTGTCTCCTGTGTTGCAGCCTCCCTCATGCTGTCCCACGTGTCGATGCTGCTCTGTACCTGTTGTTGCCGTCGTACGTACGTTGGTGATCATGTGCCTGCACTGGTGTGGTCAGGCCAGGCCAGGCCCTGCCTGTTGTCCTTGCCGTATAGTCCGGAGTCTTTTCTTCTGGCTGCTCGGCTGTATGGTGGTGCTACAGCAGTGCTGGGCTGGTAGAGGTGCAGGCATTGTGCACGCACTTGCCCAACCCCTTAACTTCATGTGTCTACCCTCCATGTTCGCGTCGTGGGACCCGTGGCCTGCCGTGCGGTAGTGTCATTGCTAGGAATGCTTCCATCCAGTGCTGCTCTGTCGGCCTCTTACGGTGCTCGTCATGCTGGCGCTGCGGGAGCCTTTGCGGGCTACCCTGTACAAGCCCACCCCGTACAGCAACAACAGCAGCAGATATTGACCACCAGCCCTCCGCCGGAAACGCAGGCGAGACGGGTTGATGTTTGACAAGTGCGGTTCGACGTGACACCGGCAATGTTTGTTCCGTGGGTGTAGCACGCCAGTGGATTGTCGCTGCTGTGCTGTACCTCGTGCCTTTCAACGCGTGCACGTACGGTTCGCTGTTTTCGTGTACTCAGCGGTGGACGGCGAAACGTTTCATTTGTCTTGTCTTGTGATCAAACGTTGACATGGTGTCCTTCCATTCCGCCGCGTGGTGGGTTTCGCGTGCGGTTGCAGGCCATGCTTTCACCTCGCACTGGTCTGCCGTTGGGAACTCCGGCCCCTGTGGGTGCTCCCGATGCTGGGGCCGCCGGAGGTTTTGCGGGCTACCCTGTACAAGCCCACCCCGTACAGCAACAACAGCAGCAGACATTGACCACCAGCCCCCCGCCGGAAACGCAGGCGAGACGGGTTGGTGCTTGACACGTGCCGTTCGGCGTGACACCCACAATGTTTTTTTGTGTGCTTTACTTGATGTTGCTGCTGCTGTTCCCCTTGGCCCCATGAAAAGAGCACCGGTATCTGGCATTCCCCCGGTCCACATCAAGGCTCCCTGTAGAGGCCCTGCCATTGTTTTCGTGGGTGTAGCACGCCAATTGATTGTCCCTGCTGTGCTGCACCTCGTGCCTTTCAACGCGTGCACGTTCGGTTCGCTGTTTTCGTGTACTCAGCGGTGGACGGCGAAACGTTTCATTTGTCTTGTCTTGTGAATCAAATATGGGGCAAGGAAGATTGAACTCGTTGGAGTAGGTCTACAGTGGCTCCCGTCGTATCCCACGGTTTGTCATGGTTGGTAGTCATGATGCCGCATGACGAACGGCCCTTGAAGCGTGGTACTGCTGTCGCCTCCACATTGTTACCCTGTTTGTCTGTGACACGCCACTTATTTTTGTGCTCCCGGCTCTCCCATACGGCGCAGGTCATGGGATGAAGCCAAAAGAGGTGACGAAAGCAATGAAGGCGTTGCACGAGGACAGCGACATCGACATCAACAAGCGCGCGGTGCAGAACGCAGCTGCCATTGTGCACGGGGCGGAGAAGCCGAGAGATGCTGCCGATGCGTACGAAGAGGTGTGTCCATGTGTCCGTTGAGACTGTTGCCTCTCTTGTTTGTGTGTGGGATGTTGGAGTATTTGCTCAAGGCGGTATCCGGGCGACAAGACACATACGATCGCAGGTGACAACCGGGAGAATATATGCCCCATGACACCAAACCAAGAAATGTTGGAGGTAAAAAATGTGTGCCGTGCCGTCGTCGTGGTTTTGCGCTGATGCCCTCGATGTTTCCGGGCGCTTAACATGTTGCAATTTCAGGTCATGGCCGCGACGGCCGACGGCGGAGTGTGCGAGATCAAGATGGATGACAGCGGCCGCCTGACGCACATCTGGTGGCAAACGAGAGAGCAGGTAGGTCGCCGGTCGTTGTGCCCCATACGAATATTCCCCAGCCGGAAGGTTTGCTTTCATTTTAGCATCTCGCACGTACCGCTTCGCCGTCCGCAAATGTAGGACGTCTGACCGAAAGCACGCCGTAGGCAAGGGTGGGGGTGCGTTGTGACGCGTCCAACACACGTCACACCCACAATTAAGTGCTCTCGATCCCCTTCGACGTCATGCTCCGAATACGCAGGTGGCGCTTTGGAATCGGTACGGTCACGTTGCGCTCTACGACGACACCGCTGTCAAGAACAGATACCGTATGCCTCTCGGTGTGCTCGCTGTCGTCGATTCGGAGTATCGGACGCGGATCGTCGGCCAAAGCATAACGGCCGACACCACAACGGACACTTTCCTGTGGATGTTGAAGAGTGCGTTGGAGTCTCGCGGGAAGCAGCCGGATACCTTCATCCAGGACGCGGACGCGGCGATGACGGCGGCGGTGCGAGAGGTGTTCCCGGACGCGCTGGCGAGGCGCAATTTATGGCACCTCAACCAGAACGTTATCAAGGCCCTCGCTAAAGTCCTTGGTGGGTACATGAAGGTGCGCTCTACTGTGTGTGTTGGCGTGGTTAGTCTGGCCTCTCGTATTGTCCTGGTCGCGCGACGTACGCTGCCCACTCTAGCCCCCCTCCCCCACTCCCGCTTGTATCCCCTGTGCGAGTTGGTGCGTTGTCATGGATCAGTGTCGCCTACTTGGAAGAGTGATATCCAGCGTCTCTGCGTAGACCGTGATGCGGAGACGACCTCGGCTTCGACGGAAACATACCTCACGACGTCCAGTGCACACAGAAAAAGCAGCAGCAGCAGCAGCAGGTTGTAAGCACCAATGGTATGTCGCTGAGTTTTTTCAACCCTCTCCTCGTCTCGCCTTAGCGCTAACGAAGTGTACGGGGTTGTTGGTGGCAGTCAATCGTACAGACCGGTAGCCCATATCGCAAAGGCCCCAACTCACGCAACACCCACCCGGCCCACGTCGTTTGTGTTTTCCGCAGCCTTTCATGGACGAGTTCAGGTGTGTGCGTCAGCAGCTGTCATTGGCGAAGTTCGAACGGAAGTTCAACGCCCTCATCGAAAAGTACCCGAAGGCGGAGAAGTACATGCAAGTAGTATATGACGACCGTGCACGGTGGGCGGAATATGTGTCGCCCCTGGTGTTCTCCGTGGGTTCGTGGACGACATCAAGAGTTGAAGGTGCGTGTATGCGTCATCTGCCATCATGAGCGTTTTGTTCGAGAACGACAGCGCATATAGCGTTGTCGTTGTTTTTGGGAGTTTTTCTACGTCTGTAGGGGTTGGGGGCGGCTATCTTCCTTGCCCCCTATTTACTATGCCCATTGGTGAGTGCTTCTGGACGAATTTATCGTACGCCGTCAGTGGATGACCAGTAAACAACTCCCTACATGACGCTAATGTTTACGACCTCTTCGAAACATGTGGCTGTTGTCCGGCCCCTGTTGTTCGGGATTGATGTACTTGGTCGGTGCACTGCGATCGTCCGGCTCACGTGTACATACATCTGTGGCGATGGGTGCGTCAAGTCATAGGCTTCTCTTTCAGTCGTTTGGCGTACTGCGACTTCAACGATGTCTGATGACACCAATCACTAACCTACGGTTTGGTTTGTGTGTCGCTTCTTGCGTGTTTGTCCGCCGCACACACAACAGGCCAAAACGCCCTCATCAGGGATAGGTGCAACTCGCGCTCCTCGCTTTTGGACGTGGCGAAGTACTTTTCGGGCATCATCTGTTCCCAGAAGGATGCCGCCATGCTGCGTGACGCAATCGACCATCTGCCGCCTAATCGGATGGCGGCTCCACCAGCGACCGCTTTCAAGAGTGTGCTCGAGTCCTGCGAGTTCTCCATCGCGGGCTGGCCGCGGCGGTTCATGGAGCAAGAGATGACCGCGGCCATCACGTTTTGCCAGATGGGTGGTGGGGAGGTGGATGGACCAGAACGCGCGGCAGCTTCGGGGCGCACGTTCGAGTACATCGAGGACAAGCTTTGCGACGCCATTTACGTCTTCGGGATTCACGAGCAGCGTGATGACAAGGCCTTCGACTACCTCGTCTTGCTCTTTTCCGACGGTAGCCATCTCTGCCAGTGCCGCACACTCCAAACTCTCAGGCTATTTTGTCGCCATGTGTGGGCGGCGATGATGTACAGCCCCCGATTCAGATTCCACGTAGGCCTCCTGCACGAGCACTGGCTGACGGAAAAGGCGAGGGGAACACCGCAGCAGGACTGGCCGGATGTCGCCCGCCCTCGGTGGGTGGTATCCAACCGCCACGCTGCGAGAGAAGTGGACGGGGCGGCGGGAGAGGGAGAGGGAGAGGGGGTGGGGGGATGCAGCGGGAGATGGAAGTCTTTCGTTGGGAGCAGCCAGACGGTGCAGACGGTCCTGTTGGACTTGAAGGAGAAGGGGCCCACGGACCAGGATAGACAAGTGTTGTTCGCCGACGTAACGAAGAAGCTCGGGCAAGCCGCGAGTATTTTGTCTGATCGCTTTTCACCGACAGTCGCCGTAGCCCTCGTGGACCAATTTCTGACGATGGTCAATGTGCAAGCAGGC